TATATATATATATATATATATATATATATCATGTCTATCTATCTATCTATCTGTATGCAGCTAGCCATAAACACACATGTGTAAGTGCACACATCCGTATATATATTCATTGACGCTGTTAAACTTCATGCTACAGAAAACCGCATTCATCCTGTGCATAGGAATGCCGACATAGTGGCTTCTTATGCACAATCTATTCTACATTTTTGCACACCGGTACGTATGCACAGGCTTATTTACGTAAAGACGGCTAGATACTCGACACTATGTGCCGGTGGTTGACGAGGGAGCAAATGGCACTGCGTGAAATCGACTCCTCTAAATACCTTTCGTAACTCTGCGCCGGCGGTGTTTTGTAGGAGACGCCTTCGTGTTGTTCGCAAAAGGGGAAGAGCTCAGCTTCATCAAGCAGACGGTCCTGCAGTGCGGCTCCAAAAGAACTGATTCTTGAGTTCACAAGCTTTGTGCGTTTGTTTACGTGTGAGAGGTGTAGTTGAGTAGGAACACAACGCCATAGACTTTAAAGCATACGCAGATACTTGTGTATTCGGGGGAAGTTAGCAACGGTATGCATGCGGTGGAGATGGGCTGCTCGCAGAGACAGCTGGGGGTGTGCGACTATAGAAGGAGCACATTCATCGGCTCCCCCCTCTACAGTTCTGCAGTAGTCAACTTCTATCAGCTAATATGATATATCTGCTTAAAATATGCCACGTGCTCACATTATGTGGTGCTGGGAATTACAAAAAGGACAGAGAAAGCCAAGAGGGGACAGAAGAAACCAGAGGAGGCAGAGTGGCTATGCAACGTTGTGGAAACACCGGAAAACCATCGACAGGAAGAAATGAAATGCACAGTGAACATTCATATGCATGTGCATCTATCATACTAGAAAAAATTGGTGAAGTAGAACGGGAAAGGGGCAATGAAGGAGAAGGCGCAACTTGCCTGCATGTAGAAGTTGAGGTAGGTGTTACAGACGAGCCTGTCTCGGGGGTCAATGATGTGTCCTCCGTACATGATTTCTCCAAAGATGTACTTAAGGTCATCCCAAGGCACCTTCGAGCCGCCTTGCTGCTGCTCCATGTAATTCAACAGTACCATCGCGGAATCTCGCAAGTCGCCCATCGAAAATGGGTAGTTCATGTTCCAACCCCGCGGCCCAAACCTCTTTCGCTCAAGTAGAACGGCATGGAAGAAGCAAAGACCGAATATAATGGCTTTTACCTGGAAATCAACATGCAGGTCTGTAGGGCATTCTATAAAACTGACACAATATAATACGGCGACTGCGTTTGAGAAATACAATGCATATGCAGGGACTAGGGCATATATATATATATATTATATAT